GCCTCAATCTCTCGGGAAACCGGTTTACTGGTCCCATTCCTCTTCAAGACTCGAGTGTTAGTGAGTTGTTAGTTAAACCATCAGATCTGCCCATGGAATATCTTGATCTATCTAATAATTCCTTGATTGGTGGGTTGCCTCCTGAAATAGATAAATTGGCGAGTCTCAAATTGCTAAATCTTGCAAAGAATGAATTATCAGGATCACTTCCAGATCAATTGAACAGACTGAGTAACTTGGAGTATCTTGATTTATCGAACAACAAATTTACAGGTGAAATTCCTGATATGCTTCCCAACTTACATGTTTTTAATGTGTCCTACAATTATCTCTCCGGTAGTGTTCCAGAGAATTTAAGGAACTTCCCTGTCTCATCATTTCGTCCCGGAAATGATAAACTTAGCTTACCGAAAGATATAGGTTCAGGGAACTCAATTCCAGATAGTTTACCCGAGCAGGGAAAACGTGGCACTTCTAAAGCTAATATACGAATAGCTATTATTCTTGCCTCAGTTGGAACAGTTGTGATGATTGTGTTTCTTTTACTGGCTTATCATAGAGCACAACGTAAAGAGTTCCATGGAAGAAGTATATTTAGCGGCCAGGGTACTGAAAGGAACAATAAGATGGAACGTTTCAGGCCTTCTATTTTCAAATTCCAACTGAACAATCAGCCTCCACCAACTTCTTCAAGTTTTTCAAACGACCATTTACTAACCTCTACTTCAAGGACATTATCTGGGCAGGCAGAATTCTCTTCTGAGATTTCTGAACATGTTTTACCTGGAGGTGCTGCAACAAGTTCATCGATGATTATTCCTAACTTGCTCGACGATCATCCTGTTACTTCTGTGAAAAATTCCTCCCCTGGTTCCCCATTATCTTCCTCACACCAGTTTGTTGAAGGGCATGAACTACCTGTTACACTAGATGTGTATTCACCAGATCGGTTAGCCGGAGAATTGTCTTTTCTGGACAATTCACTGCTATTCACAGCTGAGGAATTATCCAGAGCTCCAGCTGAAGTTCTTGGTAGAAGCAGCCATGGAACACTATACAAAGCTACTCTGGATAGTGGACATATGCTGGCAGTTAAGTGGCTACGTGTGGGACTTGTCAAACATAAGAAGGAATTTGCCAAGGAAGTTAAGAGAATTGGATCAATGAGGCATAAAAGCATTGTTCCTTTACGGGCATATTATTGGGGTCCAAGAGAACAAGAGCGACTTCTTTTAGCTGACTTTATTTTGGGAGATAGCTTAGCTCTACATCTTTACGGTAAGAGTGTTGGAATCTTCCTTTTTATGTTTAGGTATTTCTTTGCTTATTTTTTACTGACGCTAACTGTATGGACCTGCACATACCCTTTTATGTGTCCTGTCACTGATGCAACTATTTTCTGGATTTTTAACCGTTCGAGTAATCGCTCTGAAAAGAAAATTGTGATTTTTACATTGGTTTGTAGTGATGAATGTACATGCCAAGAATAGTTCCTTCTTGCATTACTCATGCATGAAAGTAAAGGGTTGGAAAATGGAATAGAAATCTTTTGCAGATAGTTTTTTGTTGATAAACTGTGGCCAAAACTCTTGTTTTCTGATGTGTATCATTTAAACCTAGAATGGGCCCTTTTTCAAAACACTTTTGAGAGCCTCTATTATCATAGGACAGAATTCCATGACGAATGGGTACTAATTCAACACTCAGTGCTCTTGTGGCACTCATTTCTTCGGCATAAATTCTAATCCAAAATTTTGTTTCAAGCTTTTTTGAACTTTTGGTATTAGTTTTGCTCATTTTATTTTGATTTATGGTTTTAACAATACACAATCAACCTGTATTTGTTCGGCATAACTTGACGAACATATTGATGATTTGATGGAGTTTGAAGTCCAAGATGTATGTCTTGATTATCATTATAGAAATACCAAAATAAGTTGTGAAGTGCAACAAGTGGTGTCACTTTTTTGTTATTGTCAATTATGATGATCATTGCCGTAGTTTTAGATCTCATGTAGCTGCTTGTCTCATACTCAAAAGTTCATCACGTAGCCCTGCCCTTAAAGTGCCATTGCTATACTATAATTTTAGATTGTATTTTTTTTCGTGTCTTTGACAAGATTCTGTTTATTTTTTTTTCCGGGATAAATTATGGTTCTAGATTCTCTTATTTGTTTGTAAATTTCGGAACAAGTATTATAATGTTAACACTTTTTTGATGCACAAGAGGAAGATGAGAAAAGAAGAAAAAGCTATATTGACGGTAGTTGTTTGAAAGAAAACACCAAGTAGGAAACCATAAGATCTCTCAACACTAACACTTTGTAACAGCCCAAGCCCACAACTAGTAGGTAGGAAACCGTGTAAGATCCCTCAACTATCCCAAGATTTTAGAACGCGTCTACTATGGAGAGGGTCTAGCCCTACTCCGACCAATGCCTCGCACTGTCTGATGACGTACTTTGATACCATTTGTAACAACCCAAAGAGGACAATATCTGATAGCGTTAGGCTTGGGCTGTTACAAATGGTATCAGAACCAGACACTGGGCGATGTGTCAGTGAGGAGAGGAAGCTGATCCCCAAAGGGGGGTGGACATGAGGCGATGTGTCAGTAAGGACGCTGGGTCTCGAAGGGAGTGGATTGTGAGATCCCACATCTATTAGGGAGGAGAATGAAACATTTTTTACAAGGGTGTGGAAACCTCTCCCTAGCAGACACCTTGGAGGAAGCCTAGAAGAGAAAGTCCAAAGAGGATAATATCTGGTAGCGGTGGGATTGAGTTGTTACAAACACAAAAAACTTTTTTTTGAAGGCATTTCCGTTCCTTTTCTCCCAAAGAGCTTGAATGGCATATATAAAATTTGTAGCTCTATCCTTGAATGAGTGGCCGCACAACAATTGAAGATGGCCTGTTTTGCAGTGATGCAGTCTCTTTGTTCTTGTTATACTTATCATCTTTTTATTACTACCACGTTCAAAGATCTTTCTGGATGTCAATTTCATAGCGGGAACAAGAATGTTCAGCCTGTGGTTGGAATCATAAGTTTCTGCCTAGTTTGCAATCATTTACTGTAAGAAACACTAGAATATTACTGTATTCTTCTTGCAGAAGTACTTTCCCGTGCAATCTGACTCTCTCTAAGACTACTATTGTGTATTCTAGTGATTCATTGTATTGTTTCTTTTTGTGGCAGAAACTACACCTCGAAGTTATTCTCGGTTGACTTTCAGTCAGAGACTAAAAATTGCAGTGGAAGTTGCTCGCTGTCTGTTATACCTTCACGACAGTGGCCTCCCCCATGGAAACTTAAAGCCAACAAACATTATCTTGGCAGGCCATGACTCTGATGCCCGCCTCACTGACTACGGACTTCACCGCTTGATGACACCAGCAGGCATTGCGGAGCAGATATTGAATCTAGGAGCACTTGGATATTGTGCTCCAGAACTGGCTTGTGCAGCGAAACCCGGTCCATCTTTCAAGGCTGACATTTATTCATTTGGGGTGATTCTAATGGAGCTTTTAACCAAAAGAAGTGCAGGCGACATAATATCAGGCCAATCTGGGGCTGTCGATCTAACAGATTGGGTACGTCTATGCGATCAAGAAGGACGAAGAATGGACTGCATAGACCGAGATATCGTGGTCGGAGAAGAGCCTTCGAAAGCTATGGATGAACTGTTGGCTATATCCCTCAAGTGCATTCTCCCTGTAAATGAGAGGCCTAACATCAGACAAGTCTTCGATGATTTATGTGCTATATCTGTTTGATTTCCACCCCCTCCCCCTCTCCCCCTTGTGTACATGCGTCTTGGAATTAGTTTTTTCCGTGTTCCTCGACCCATTTGTTTTTGTTTCCTATTTTTCGCTTCGTATTGGTTTCAGCCTACAGATTTTGGGCATATTGTCACCATGTTTCTCCGTGAAATTTTCTTGTAAATGAACGGTATCCATTCATTTTTTTCCCCTACAAGAGTTTCAGTAGTATGTTAATGAAAACAAAAAAAATGTTCACTTCAAACTATTTAGTTATTTGCACGCGTTGTAAAGACGAATAATCATAAGATCTTGAGCTCTATTGTTACACTCATTACATCCCAAGACAACCTCTTTGGCCAAATCCAAACATTAGAGTCTCTTCCAATGGTCCGTACATTCACCTTTTTAAAGTATTCTAAGTCGAATTCTTCCATTGTGAGATCCCATAGTAGTTAAAGAGGGGAATGAATAATTTCTTATAAGAGTGTAGAAATCTCACTAACATACGCATTTTAAAATCTTAGAGGGGAATGAATCATTTCTTATAAGAGTGTAGAAATCTCACTAACATACGCATTTTAAAATCTTGAGGTTGATGATGATACGTAACGGTAAAAAATAGACCACATCTGGAACTTGGGCTGTTACAAATGGTATCAAGCCCAGACAACGAACTTGGGCTGTTACAAATGGTATTAAGCCCAGACAACGAACTTGGGCTGTTACAAATGGTATTAAGCCCAGACAACGAACTTGGGCTGTTACAAATGGTATCAAGCCCAGACAACGAACAGTGTGCCAACAAGAACTGTTTTAAAACTGTGAGACTAACGGCAATACATTACGAGCCAAAGCGAACAATAACGACTAGCAGTAACTCATTGAGCTGTTACATCCATGTTCCTATCCAAACCCAACCAGCTTTTCTAATTCATCTTGCATTTTCTCATCCATGTGGATGCTTGATGAGCTTAGGTAGTGCCCATCCGACAGTGGTGGCTGAAAGTGTCCATTGATGCAACTAGCATATCCTCAAAATGGGGTCAAGTTATTTGATTGTTCATTAAGTTTAATATCATCTCTCATCAAATTAAAATGTTCTAATAATATCTATGGAGGTTTTGAATGATATATACCAAATAGTTTATTCATTAATTACATTACATTACTTTACTGTATATAGCAATCGAATACAAATTACACTTCTTGCATATAAATCTTAGTAGCCTCATATGACAAAGCCCATAACACCCTTTTAACTTCTTTAGCTTTGGGCAATGCTATCACCAACGTATTAGTCTCGTAGGCGGTAAATAGGAGTAACCATAATATCCTGAGCAATGGGACAGCTTAAACCAAACGCTTCCGTCATATCCAAGTCAGCTGGTAGCATACCATTTGGAAGCTTCCAATCAAAACAATGCACGAGTTGAGCCAAAATTAAATGAATCGTGACTAGACCCACTTGCATTCCAGGACAACCTCTTCGACCAGATCCAAACGGAAGTAGTTGAAAATCTTTTCCTTTCACATCCACTTGACTCCCTATAAATCTTTCTGGAAAGAATTTTTCAGCATCGGTCCAAGCACTTGGATTTCGTCCAATTGCCCACACATTTATTATAATTCGTGACTTTTTAGGTATATGGAAGTTATTAACCGTACAATCTTTAACCGCTTCGTGTGGAACTATTAATGGACCCGGGGGATGCAATCTTAAAACCTCTTTAACTACCATTTCTAAGTAGGTCAAGTGAGACAAGTCTGTTTCTTCCACCATTCTATTCAAACCCACAACCTTTTCTAATTCGTCTTGCACCTTCTTCATTACATGTGGATGTTTGATGAGCTCAGCTACTGCCCATCCAATGGTGACGGCTGACGAGTCTGTCGCCGCAAGAAGTATATCCTAAAAAATAATGTACGTTAAAAAGTCATTCCAAACAGACTTTGAATATGAATGCAAAATGTTTACTTACGAGCATTATGGCTTTGATGCTGGATCGATCAATTTGATACTCGGTTACCTCCGACCCCATAATGCCTAACATAACGTCTACGAAATCTTTACTATCCTCATTCTTGGATTCAAGATGTTCATCAAGGATCCTTTCAAAAAACCTATCACATACTTTATTAACACATTTTGCACGTTGGATCAATCCTTGAAGATCAAGAGCTGAAATAAAAGGAATGAAGTCCCCCAAGTTAAAAGCTGCAGCTAATTTCAAGGCTTCTTGTACCACCCACTTAAAACCCCTCTCATCAAGGTCTCTATCTTCAAATTTTTTGCCAAAGATCATCAAACATGTCATGTTTGCACTAAGAGAACAAACTTTTGAGCTAAGATTAACAACCACCTCACTCTTGGCAGCCTCACGAAGCTCATCAATCAACAAGCTGAGCTCTTCCTTTCTCATTGATTTGAAAAAATTGACCTTTTGATTGCTAAGCAACTCGAGTGTGCATATCTTGCGCATGTTGCGCCAATAATGCCCATATTTTGAGAACACCATGCTCCTTTCTCCATAAGACATGTGCTTGAAAACCTCATTTGTTGGACGACTTGCAAAAACAAGATCATGGGTTTTCAAAAACAGAGCTGCAGCTTCAGGGGAAGACACAACAATGGTGTTTACAAGGCCCAATTTCATGTGCATGATGGGCCCATATCTTTGAGACAATCGTTGAATATCTCTATGAGGTAGCTTCCCTAACAAATGAAGGCTACCCAAAATGGGAAACCCTTTGGGCCCCGGAGGTAGATTCTTGCCTTTGTTCTTCAACAGCCATGGCCAAAAGAGAAGCACAAGAGCAAACATGATAATAATGATCCAAATCCAAGCCATTTTTTGTGCTAAGTTGAGGATAAAAGTAGGAGATATGCAATCCACGGTGCATAGAGCGTTGTTATTTATATGTATATATATATAATTTAATTCAAAACGTGATGAATGAGTATGAATGATAAAAAGAAAAACGGGCCATTTAATAGCAACCATATGCGATTTAGTTTGGTTTGGACACCCACAATTGCGTATCCACTCAGCCCAACCGACCACAGTCAGTCCTTTCATTCGGTGTTCATGTTTTCCGGTAGCTGATTCGTGGTGGAAGGGTGTTGGGAACCGACATTCTTGTTGTCCCATTTTCAACTGTTGTCGCCATCGTCGGAAGCATACCTTTTTTCACGTGGGGCACCAATTCTTGCACATGTTTTTCGTTTTTGGGCTTCCCCTTTCAAACTTTCTGTAAGGTTTTTAAAACGCTTTTGTTAAGAGAGGTTTCCACACTCTTATAAAGAGTGTTTCGTTCTTTTTCCCCACCAATATGAGACATCACACCTTAAGTAGGGTTTGCAATAATCTATACGTTCTCTTATGACATATGGATATAAATTTGAGATACTTTGTTGAGGGAGGCGGTAAGAGTGTGTACAATTAATCAAAAAATTTCTATAATTGACTTCATGTTTGATTTTACGGAAAAAGGAAAGTGTATCTTACTGGTATAAGTAGTGACTTTCAATTCTTTTAAATCATTCCTAATCATTCCTAGTATCATATTCTCATTCAAATATGATCTTTGTTCATTTATGTACTCCTCATCTTTGTTCATTTATGTACTCCTCTTTTACTTTAGTGTCATTTAAGATTTTTAGCTTTTGTCTTTAAACAAGTGGCCACACGACACTTGTTATCTTAATAGACCCATCTTTTGACAATGGACTTTACCGTTTGATGACACGAACAGGAGTTGCAGAGGGTCCCAATTATATTATAAAAAGAATAGGCTGTGGCCCTCACATTGCGAAAAAATACGAATGTAACACGGAGCAGATACTAAATCTAATAGCATTTATTCATTTGGGGTGAGCTTTTAACCAAAAGAAGTGTAGGTGGCACAAAAACGAGCCAATTTGGGGCTGTCGATCTGTCAAGGACGAAGAATGGATTGCATAGACTTGGATTCTCATGTTCACTAAGATCTCTTTCCTGGGGGTATGGATGTTGTTGATTGTACAACCATCGAGAGACGTGAGTAGAACCAACAATACAATGGTGGATCCCAACACGGTTTGTATTCACTTACCCAACTTGTTTATTGGCACATGTAACATGTCTTTATACAATGATGACTTATGCCCCACCTTCTCACACGGCAAAGGACTATGAGTCATAACTCTTTATCAAATACACAAAGTTTTCTTTCGACACATTGATTGCGACCCAACGAAAGCTGTGCTCTTTCTGACACGTACACGCTGATAACATCGTAACCAACTTAGTTATTCGAATAAGTTATGTAAAATTATATAACTTGTTAGTTGTTTAGGCGATAAATAGGGGTAACCATAAGATCTTCAGCTCTGGGACAAGTTAATCCAAATTCTTCGGTCATATCCAATTTATCAGGTGACATGCCATTTGGAAGCTCCCAATCAAAGCAATGCACAAGTTGGGCTATCACTAGACGAACTATTGTTAGGCCCAGTTGCAATCCAGGACAACCTCTTCTACCCGATCCAAAGGGAATCAATTCAAAATCTCTCCCTCTCATATCTATTTGACTACCAATAAACCTTTCAGGAAAAAACTTTTCTGGGTCAATCCAAACATCAGGGTCTCTTCCGATTGCCCATCCATTCACTATTATGCGAGATTTCTTAGGAATATGGAAGCCATTAATAGTACAGTCTTCGAGAGACTCGTGTGGAATTAATAACGGAGCGGGTGGATGTAGCCTGAAAATTTCCTTAACGACCATGTCCAAGTATTCTAATTGATCCAAGTCGGATTCTTCAACCTTCTTATCATAACCTACCACCTTTTCTAATTCATCTTGCATTTTCTTCATCACATGTGGATGCCTGATGAGCTCGGGTATCGCCCATCCGATGGTAGTGGATGAAGTGTCCATTGCCGCAACTAACATATCCTAAAAAATAGTGTCGAAAAATATTCATGAATCTTATCTTCATAATAATTATAAACAATATTAACGCGTAAACTATACTTACAAGAATTATAGCTTTAATGTTCGATCGTTCGATCCGATACTCGGTTTCTTTGGAGTTCATGATTTCCAACATGACATCCACAAAATCTTTGGTCTTATTTTCATGCTTGGATTCAAGATGGTCGTCAACAATCATCTCAAGGAACCCATCAAATATCTTACTAATAGCTTTTGAGCGACGGTCCAACCCTTGAAGATCAAGCGCTGCAATTTGAGGAATAAAATCTCCCAAGTTAGGAGTAGCTGCTAAATGCATGGCCTCTTGTATAACAGACTTGAAACCCCTCTCATCGAACTCTTGGTCAGCATATTTCTTCCCAAACACCATCAAACACGTCATATCGGTTACGAGACAACAAACTTTGGAGCTAAGATTCACAACGTCACGATTCATTGCAGCATCTCGAAGATAGTCAACCAACAAACCAAGCTCTTCCCTTCTCATTGATCTAAAAGAGTTGACTTTGACATTGCTTAGCAATTCGAGCGTGCACATTTTACGCATATTACGCCAATACGAGCCATACGGAGCAAACGCCAAGTTCTTTTGACCATATGACATGTACTTGGAAGCCTGAACAAATGGGCGACTAGCAAAGACGATATCATGGGATTTGAGGAAGAGCTCGGCAGCTTGAGGAGAGGAGACAACGATGGTGGGCACAAGGCCGAGCCTCATGTACATAATGGAACCATATTTTTGAGATAAGGCTCGAAGGTCTCTATGGGGAAGCTTTCCCAACAAATGAAGGCTACCCAAAATTGGAAGCCCTCTAGGACCAGGAGGCAATTGGTTGGGACCTCTATGCAGCCATGATGTGAAGAGAAGAGCTACTACACCAAGCAATGCAATGGCTAGCAAAATCCAAGCCATAATCTCATCGGAAGTGTAGAAGGGATGTGGAGATGTGGGTTGTTTAAATAGCTGAAATGCCGTCCTTGTGATGAACACAAAGCTCAAGCTTGTCCCGTTTTGAAAATTATTGATATCATATCTGCCAGAGATCCATTCTTGGGATGCTGGATTGGGATATGGGATAGAGATCCTTTCGACTTGTAGTGTTATTTTCTGCTTGTTTCCTACAAGTTGGTGGGACCAATCTGGTTGCATTTAATGTTTGTTGTTTTGTTTCGTATGAGGTCAAGAAACGATTAGGATGGGCCAATTGAATTATGCAAATGCATTGGGAACATCAATAATCAATTTTTTAATAAAAATATATTTAAATTTATAATATTAATTATCTGCTTTCGTTCGTTATATGTCACCGTCAGCTTCACGATTTAAAAATACATCTAGTAGAAAAAAAATTTCACACATTTATGAGGAGGGTTTCGTACCACTCTACAAACGAGATGAGATCTCACACGGAATATTATGATCGAGAACTAGCATGTGGAGCGACGCGTAAGTCCATCTTTCAAAGGCTGGCATTTATTGATTTGGGGTGATTTTAAAGGGGCTTTCAACCAAAAGAAGTGCAGGCTGTCGATCACACAGATTGGCACACAGATTGGGTGCGTCTATGCGAACGAGGCCGAAGAATTGACTGCATGCACTTGGCTTCTAATGTTCACTTGGCTTCTGATGTAGATCAATCTGGACAATTGGGTTTCATCCACTGGCTCATATGTTCAATATTATGTGCAATTTCCTAAGGTACGGATGTTATTGATTGTACAACGTTCGAGAGACTCGTGTAGAACCAATAATAGAACGGTGGGTCTCAACAGAATTTGTATTCATTTGAGTAAGTCTACATATGTCTTTATGCAATTGATGTGCATTGCTCACCTTCCCATACAGCACGAGAACTTATGTCACTCATTGATTGTGACCCAACCAAAGCTGAGCTATTACACGTACAAGCTGTAAATAAGCATGTTAGTTGTTTAGGCGATAAATAGGAGTAACCATAAGTTCTTGAGCTCTGGGACAAGTTAACCCAAATTCTTCCGTCATATCTAATTCATCAGGTAACATGTCATTTGGAAGCTTCCAGTCAAAGCAATGCACAAGTTGAGCTACTACCAAATGAACCATTGTTAGACCCAGTTGTATTCCAGGACAACCTCTTCTACCTGATCCGAAAGGAATCAATTGAAAATCTCTCCCTTTCACATCTAGTTGACTACCCATAAACCTTTCGGGAAAGAATTTCTCTGGTTCAATCCAAAAGTTAGGGTCTCTTCCGATTGCCCATCCATTCACTATTATGCGTGATCTCTTAGGAATATGGAAGCCATTTACAACGCAGTCTTCAAGAGACTCGTGCGGAACTAATATTGGAACGGGTGGATGTAGCCTGAGAACTTCCTTAACGACCATGTCTAAGTATTCTAATTGTTCCAAGTCGGATTCTTCAACCTTCTTATCAAAACCCACCACCTTTTCTAATTCGTCTTGCATTTTCTTCATCACATGTGGATGCCTGATGAGCTCGGGTATCGCCCATTCGATGGTAGTGGCTGAAGTGTCCATTCCCGCAATTAGCATATCCTAAAAATAGTGTCAAAATAATTATAATCAAGAACTGAAATCTTTATGTTTACGGAGGCATGCTATTAAAATTTAGAAGTAACTTCATGATATAACATATGTGAGATCCCACGTCGGTTGAAGAAAAACACGAAGCATACCTTATAAGACCGTGGAAACATCTCTCTATCAGACTATCAAACACATTTTAAAAATTTTGAAGGAAAACCCAAAAGAAATATTTTAAAGAGGACAATATGGGCTAGCGGTAGGCTTGAGCTATTACAAATGGTATAGGAGCTAGATACCAGGCGATGTGTCAGAAAAGACACTACTCCAAAGGGGGGTGGATTGCGAAATCTCATATCGGTTAGAGAGGAGAACGAACATTCTTTAAGAAGGTATGAAAACCTCTCTCTAACAAACACATTTTAAAAACTACGAGAGAAAGCTTATAAAAAGGACAAGAAGACAATTTTTACTAGGGTAGACTTGAGCTAGTTCCAACTTTCTAGGAGACAAAGTTTCATAATTTATCCAAAAATAATCAGAAAAACATGCTGTTGTCTCATAACCTTAGTTCAAGTATTAACATATGTAAAGTATGAATGCATAGAAAGCATACTTACAAGAAGTATAGCTTTAATGTTAGACCGTTGGATCTGATACTCAGTTTCTTCGGAGCTCATGATGTCCAACATGACATCCACAAAATCTTTGGTCTTATTTTCATGCTTGGATTCAAGATGGTCGTCAATAATCTTCTCAAGGAACCCATCAAATATCTTACTAACAGCTTTAGAGCGACGGTCCAACCCTTGAAGATCAAGCGCTGCAATTGGAGGAATAAAATCTCCCAAGTTAGGAATAGCTACTAACTGCAACGCCTCTTGTATCACAGACTTGAAACCCCTCTCATCAAACTCTTGGTCAGCATACTTCTTTCCAAACACCATCAGACACGTCATATCCGTGATGACACAACAAATTTTGGAGCTAAGATTCACAACGGCACGATTCTTTGCAGCATCTCTAAGATAGTCAACCAACAACCCAACCTCTTCCCTTCTCATTGATCTAAAGGAGTTGACTTTGACATTGCTTAGCAATTCAAGCGTGCACATTTTACGCATATTACGCCAATATGAGCCATACGGAGCAAACCCCAAATTCTTTTGACCGTATGACATGTACTTAGAAGCTAGAAGAAACGGGCGACTAGCAAACACCGAGTCGTAGGTTTTGAGGAAGAGCTCGGCAGCTTGAGGAGAGGTGACAACGATGGTGGGCACAAGGCCGAGCCTCATGTACATAATGGAACCATATTTTTGAGATAAGGCTCGTAGGTCTCTATGAGGAAGCTTTCCCAACAAATGAAGGCTACCCAGAATTGGAAGCCCTCTAGGACCCGGCGGCAATTGGTTGGGACCTCTATGCAGCCATGATCTCCAGAGAAGAGCTACACCAACCAACGCAACGGCTAGCAGAATCCAAGCCATAAGGAGAGCATACCCAAATGTAGAAGGCTTTTGAAGATCTTGCCGTTAAGCCTGTCACGACCTTATATCAGATCCGACGGTTACAAAGCAGATCTATTGATGTAGTAATACGTGTCCATGATATCTGGCGTTAGATGGTAAACTCTTATCTAGAGAGATCCTTACATCGGATATGCGGTCGGGATCCATTTGATATTTTATTTTCCATTTCCCAGCGGCTTGTATTTAACGTTTGTCGTTTTGTTTGATATTAAAGTCAATGAATGATATCATTGACAGGAACACTTCAATTATTCAAATGCATTGGGAACTCCGATAATAAAATTTTATTAATAAAACATATTAAAATTTTTAATATTGGTTATCAATTCCAACCCAAATGGAATCAAATAAAAATTTATCCTTTTAAAATCCACGTGGATATGAGAGTTTTAAAATGGATTTAATCTCCAAGGTTTGAGTATGAGTTTTTAATTCTAAAAATTGAAACCTAAATACAAATACAAATTAAATAAATATATTTTACCCTAAAAAATTAAGGCTGTAGAAATTTTACCTCGAGCGGAAGTCCACAAAATAGCGACAGGACGAGTGAATTTTTCATGTTTCCGTCTTCCCCACTTGTTTCAATCTTCATTCCCGTAAAATTCTTCACTTATTCTAATAGAATTTGAGAGATTTCTCGAGAAAATTTATAATAGATAATTTTTTATTTTTAATACAAACCGTTTATACTTTATTTTCCATACTTCATACTTTCTTGCATATAAATCTTAGTAGCTACATTTCTCAAATGACAAATCCCATAATATCCTATAACCTCCTTAGCTCTTCGGGTAAGATTATCACCGACCAATTTCATTAGTCTTGCAAACGGTACGTAGGAGTAGCCATGATATTGTGAGCTAAAGGACAACTTAAACCAAATTTTTCTGTCATATCTAATTTATCTGGCACCATACTATTTAGAAGCTTCCAATCAAAACAATGCACAAGCTGAGCCAATACTAAATGAACCGTGACTAAACCCATTTGTATTCCAGGACAACCTCTTCTACCAGATCCAAATGGAAGTAGTTGAAAATCTCTTCCTTTCACGTCCACCTGATTGCCAATAAATCTTTCCGGAAAGAATTTTTCTGCATCAATCCAAACACTTGGATCTCGTCCAATCGCCCATACATTTATTATTATACGCGACTTTTTAGGAATGTAGAAGTCCTTAACTACCGAATCTTCGACAGACTCACGTGGAATGGGTAATGGACTTGGAGGATGTAACCTAAAAGTCTCTTTAACTACCATATCTAAGTATTCCAAGTGATCCAAATCTGCTTCTTGCACCATTCTATTCAAACCCACAATTTTTTGTAATTCATCTTGCACTTTCTTCATTGTTTGTGGATGTCTAATGAGCTCAGCTAGTGCCCATTCAATGGTGGTGGCTGGTGTCTCCACTCCCCCAAGAAGCATGTCCTAAAAATAATGCATGATTAGGAGAAAATATTAACAAATTATTATAGAATTATAAAGCAAAGTGTTTGGTTAATTACTAGTATTATGGCTTTGATGGTGGATGGATCAATTTGATACTCGGTTGTTTGAGAGCCCATAATGCCCAACATGACATCCACCAAATCTTTGGTGTCATTGTTGTTGGATTCAAGGTGTTCATCTAGGATCTTCTCAAAGAACGTATCACATACTTTATGAACGGATCTTGCACCACGGATGAATCCTTGAAGATCAAGAGGTGCAATGAAAGGAATGAAGTCCCCCAAGTTAAAAGCTCCAGCTAAATGGAAGATCTCTTGAATCATCCACTTAAACCCCATCTCATCAAGTTCTTTATCTTCAAATCTTCTCCCTAAGATCATAAGACATGCCATGTTTGCAGTGAGGGAATAGATTTTGGAACTAATATTTACAACCATGCCACTGTTTGCAGCGTCACGAAGTTGGTGGATCGTGAACCCGAGCTCTTGCCTTCTCATTGATTGGAGATAATTGGCTTTGTGGTTGCTAAGCAACTCGAGTATGCACATTTTGCGCATGTTGCGCCAATAAGGACCATATTTAGCAAATGCAATGGTCTTTTGGCTAAAAGATACGTGCTTGAAAACCTCATTAGGTGCACGACTTGCAAAAACAACGTCATGGGTTTTCAAAAACAGCTCGGCGGCTTCAGGGGAAGACACCACAATGGTGTTAACAAGGCCTAGTTTCATGTGCATGATGGGTCCGTATGTTTGAGACAAACGATGAAGATCTCTGTGGGGAAGCTTTCCCAACAAATGAAGGGAACCCATAATGGGAAACCCTTTGGGACCAGGTGGTAGTTTCTTGCTTTTGTTCCTCTCCATCCATGCCCAAAAGAGAAGCACAAGAGCAAACATGATAATAATCATCCAAATCCAAGCCATTTTCGGGATGAGTGGAGATCGAGCTCTAAAGCTACCAAAGGTTAGCTTATAAACTTGAATGAAAATACAAGATTTTCACACCTTTCTAAGAAATATTTAGCTCCCTTCTCTACTCGAGGTGAGATCTCACATGTATATTGAACTAAAAAAACTTCAGATGCTTGATGGTTGCTTCTTTCGATTAAGCCTCTCAATATATATCATCCTTATATTTAGGAGGCATTACTATATTGATTACGTAGCAAATAATTTGTCTTTATTACCAGATAAATGAGCTAGTAGTTTCTATTAATTAGCTACCTCTAATAATTTTTTTTATTAAATAAGAAATAGAAAAAAAAAACATACGTAAAATTATTTTATTTGAAAATAATTAGATGGTTAATTAGTTATGTACTTGATTACTATTTTCAGGCTAAAATATCAAATATTTGAATTTTATTAAAAAAAATAATAATAATAAACTAGTATTATTAAGTCTTTGTTAAAAAATGATTAGTTGAGTCTTTAATTAAATTAATTAGTGGGGGTTTGAATGTATTATCCTAATTGGATCATACAATTAATTATTTATTGAAAAGCACACGTGGCCAAATTCATTTAATTGATAATAAAGTATGCATTTAATCATGTAATTAGTCAGTATTTAGTTGCAACCCACTTTTTTCAATCTATTTTAATCGCATAATAATAAAAATAAATAAATAATATTTTTAAAAATTACAATTAAAAAACTTTGTCACGTGACTATTGAGTTGTGCTGTAAAAAAAAAGACGGAACTTATTATCACAAATTAACTTAATACTTTTAAAAGCATAAATGTTTGATACTTATTGATTTCTTTATTTTTTTTTTAGGGTAAATAATACTACTAATAATAATAACATCAAATTTGACTATCTGACAATATGGAGTTATAATACAATTATTTTATTTTAACAAATTTATTAATAATTTAATAAAAACAAATTAGATTAAAAAATTATTAAATCTAATAAAAATGTTAAAGTCACACCCAAATAATTAAATACATACCAAGCTTTGCATATTCAAATTTTATTTCCTTCGTTATAAATGTTCGTAGCTATGACAAAGCTCATACATCTTTAGTCTCGCAAACGGTAGGTAGGAGTAACTATAATATCTCGAGCAATGGAACAAGTTAATCCAAATTTTTCGGTCATATCCAATTCAAATGGCAGCTTGCCATTTGGAAGCTTCCAATCAAAACAATGCACAAGTTGAGCTAATACTAAATGAACCGCGATTAGACCTAATTGCATTCCAGGACATCCTCTTCTACCAGATCCAAATGGAATCAGTTGAAAATCTCTTCCTTTCATCTCTACTTTACTACCCATAAATCTTTCTAGAAAGAATCTTTCGGGATCGTTCCAAACACTTGGATCTTGTCCAATTGTCCATACATTCACTATCATACGCGATCTTTTAGGAATATAGAAGTTATTAACTATACAATCTTTTACCGATTCGTGTGGAATTAGTAATGGAATAGGAGGATGCAGCCTTAAAACCTCTTTAACCGTCATTTCTAAGTATTCCAAGTGATCCAAGTCTTCTTCTTGCACCATTCTATTCAAGCCCACAACTTTTTCTAATTCGTCTTGCACTTTCTTCATTACTTGTGGATGTGTGATGAGGTGAGCTAGTGCCCATCCGATGCTGGTGGTTGCAGTGTCTACTGCCCCAAGAAGCATATCCTAAAAAATGAAATTAAGAGCATGTTTAGAACAATAAAGTTTGTAGTACCAAATCAAAATGATTACTTACTAGCATTATGGCTTTGATGTTGGATCGATCTTGTTGAGAGCCCATAATCCCCAACATGACATCTACGAAATCTTTGGTATGATTGTGGTTGGATTCAAGATGTTCATCTAGGATCTTCTCAAAAAGGGTATCACATACTTTATGAACGGATCTTGCACGAGGGGTGAATCCTTGAAGGTCAAGAGGTGCAATAAAAGGAATGAAATCCCCCAAGTTAAAAGCTCCAGCTAAATGGAAGATCTCTTGTATCATCCACTTAAAACCCCTCTCATCAATTTCTTTATCTTCAAATTTTCTCCCTAAGACCATAAGACATGCCATGTTTATAGTGAGGGAATAGATTTTAGAAGTGAGATTTACAACCACGCGACTGTTTGCAGCGTCGTCACGAAGTTGGTCGATCAAGACCCCGAGCTCTTGCCTTCTCATTGATTTGAAAGAATCGATTTTGTGGTTGCTAAGCAGCTCGAGTACGCACATTTTGTGCATGTTGCGCCAATAAGGACCATATTTGGCAAATACCATGGTCTTTTGGCCGAAAGATATGTGCTTGAAAACCTCATTAGGTGCGCGACTTGCAAAAACAAGGTCGTGGGTTTTCAAAAACAGCTCGGCGGCTTCAGGGGAAGACACAACAATGGTGTTAACAAGGCCCAGTTTCATGTGCATGATGGGTCCATATGTTTGAGACAAACGATGGAGATCTCTGTGAGGAAGCTTTCCCAACAAATGAAGGGAACCCAAAATGGGAAACCCTTTGGGACCAGGTGGTAGTTTCTGGCTTTGGTTCCTCCCTAGCCATGCCCAAAAGAGAAGCACAAGAGTAAACATGATAATAATGATCCAAATCCAAGCCATTTGTGGTGGGTGGAGATTGATTTCTAAAGCTTCCAAAAGTCAGCTCATAGACCGGAAATGTGGAGGGTGAAAGTAGAAGTTTTTTGGTCCATAATAAATGAGAGCTTTGTTATGTATTTATAAAAATTTTGTATATGGAGAACTTTATGTTATGCGTAAGAATGAAAGCTCGTCCCAAGTAGATATTATTCGATTTGGCTCGTTGTGTATTGTCGTCAGTCTTACAATTTTAAAATGCGTCTACTAGGGAGAGGTTTCCACTCCTTTGTTTTGTTCGCCTCTCCAACCGATATGGATTTTACAATCCACCCCCTTAGGAGCCAACACCCTCGCTGGCACACTACTCGATGTCTAGCTTTGATACTATTTGTAACCGCACAAACCCACTGCTAGTCGATATTGTCCGCTTTGGCCTGTTACGTATCGTCGTCAGCCCCCACCCCCTTGGGAGCCAACACCCTCGCTGGCACACTACTCGGTGTCTAGCTTTGATACCATTTGTAACAGCACAAACCCACTGCTAGTCGATATTGTCCGCTTTGGCTCGTTATGTATCATCGTCAGCCTCACAGTTTTTAAAATGCATCGTTTAGAGAGAGGTGTGGAAAATCATTCTTTATAAAGGTGTGGAACCCTCTCTCTAGTAGACGTGTTTTAAAAATCGTGAGGCTGACAGCAATAAGTAACAGGCCACTGCTAGTCGATATTGTAACCGCACAAACCCACTGCTAGTCGATATTGTCCGCTTTGGCCTGTTACGTATCGTCGTCAGCCCCCACCCCCTTGGGAGCCAACACCCTCGCTGGCACACTACTCGGTGTCTAGCTTTGATACCATTTGTAACAGCACAAACCCACTGCTAGTCGATATTGTCCGCTTTGGCCTGTTACGTATCGTCGTCAGCCCCCACCCCCTTGGGAGCCAACACCCTCGCTGGCACACTACTCGGTGTCTAGCTTTGATACCATTTGTAACAGCACAAACCCACTGCTAGTCGATATTGTCCGCTTTGGCCTGTTACGTATCGTCGTCAGCCCCCACCCCCTTGGGAGCCAACACCCTCGCTGGCACACTACTCGGTGTCTAGCTTTGATACCATTTGTAACAGCACAAACCCACTGCTAGTCGATATTGTCCGCTTTGGCCTGTTACGTATCGTCGTCAGCCCCCACCCCCTTGGGAGCCAACACCCTCGCTGGCACACTACTCGGTGTCTAGCTTTGATACCATTTGTAACAGCACAAACCCACTGCTAGTCGATATTGTCCGCTTTGGCCTGTTACGTATCGTCGTCAGCCCCCACCCCCTTGGGAGCCAACACCCTCGCTGGCACACTACTCGGTGTCTAGCTTTGATACCATTTGTAACAGCACAAACCCACTGCTAGTCGATATTGTCCGCTTTGGCCTGTTACGTATCGTCGTCAGCCCCCACCCCCTTGGGAGCCAACACCCTCGCTGGCACACTACTCGGTGTCTAGCTTTGATACCATTTGTAACAGCACAAACCCACTGCTAGTCGATATTGTCCGCTTTGGCCTGTTACGTATCGTCGTCAGCCCCCACCCCCTTGGGAGCCAACACCCTCGCTGGCACACTACTCGGTGTCTAGCTTTGATACCATTTGTAACAGCACAAACCCACTGCTAGTCGATATTGTCCGCTTTGGCCTGTTACGTATCGTCGTCAGCCCCCACCCCCTTGGGAGCCAACACCCTCGCTGGCACACTACTCGGTGTCTAGCTTTGATACCATTTGTAACAGCACAAACCCACTGCTAGTCGATATTGTCCGCTTTGGCCTGTTACGTATCGTCGTCAGCCCCCACCCCCTTGGGAGCCAACACCCTCGCTGGCACACTACTCGGTGTCTAGCTTTGATACCATTTGTAACAGCACAAACCCACTGCTAGTCGATATTGTCCGCTTTGGCCTGTTACGTATCGTCGTCAGCCCCCACCCCCTTGGGAGCCAACACCCTCGCTGGCACACTACTCGGTGTCTAGCTTTGATACCATTTGTAACAGCACAAACCCACTGCTAGTCGATATTGTCCGCTTTGGCCTGTTACGTATCGTCGTCAGCCCCCACCCCCTTGGGAGCCAACACCCTCGCTGGCACACTACTCGGTGTCTAGCTTTGATACCATTTGTAACAGCACAAACCCACTGCTAGTCGATATTGTCCGCTTTGGCCTGTTACGTATCGTCGTCAGCCCCCACCCCCTTGGGAGCCAACACCCTCGCTGGCACACTACTCGGTGTCTAGCTTTGATACCATTTGTAACAGCACAAACCCACTGCTAGTCGATATTGTCCGCTTTGGCCTGTTACGTATCGTCGTCAGCCCCCACCCCCTTGGGAGCCAACACCCTCGCTGGCACACTACTCGGTGTCTAGCTTTGATACCATTTGTAACAGCACAAACCCACTGCTAGTCGATATTGTCCGCTTTGGCCTGTTACGTATCGTCGTCAGCCCCCACCCCCTTGGGAGCCAACACCCTCGCTGGCACACTACTCGGTGTCTAGCTTTGATACCATTTGTAACAGCACAAACCCACTGCTAGTCGATATTGTCCGCTTTGGCCTGTTACGTATCGTCGTCAGCCCCCACCCCCTTGGGAGCCAACACCCTCGCTGGCACACTACTCGGTGTCTAGCTTTGATACCATTTGTAACAGCACAAACCCACTGCTAGTCGATATTGTCCGCTTTGGCCTGTTACGTATCGTCGTCAGCCCCCACCCCCTTGGGAGCCAACACCCTCGCTGGCACACTACTCGGTGTCTAGCTTTGATACCATTTGTAACAGCACAAACCCACTGCTAGTCGATATTGTCCGCTTTGGCCTGTTACGTATCGTCGTCAGCCCCCACCCCCTTGGGAGCCAACACCCTCGCTGGCACACTACTCGGTGTCTAGCTTTGATACCATTTGTAACAGCACAAACCCACTGCTAGTCCTCGCTGGCACACTACTCGGTGTCTAGCTTTGATACCATTTGTAACAGCACAAACCCACTGCTAGTCGATATTGTCCGCTTTGGCTCGTTATGTATCATCGTCAGCCTCACAGTTTTTAAAATGCATCGTTTAGAGAGAGGTGTGGAAAATCATTCTTTATAAAGGTGTGGAACCCTCTCTCTAGTAGACGTGTTTTAAAAATCGTGAGGCTGACAGCAATAAGTAACAGGCCACTGCTAGTCGATATTGTAACCGCACAAACCCACTGCTAGTCGATATTGTCCGCTTTGGCCTGTTACGTATCGTCGTCAGCTTGTAACCGCACAAACCCACTGCTAGTCGATATTGTCCGCTTTGGCCTGTTACGTATCGTCGTCAGCCCCCACCCCCTTGGGAGCCAACACCCTCGCTGGCACACTACTCGGTGTCTAGCTTTGATACCATTTGTAACAGCACAAACCCACTGCTAGTCCTCGCTGGCACACTACTCGGTGTCTAGCTTTGATACCATTTGTAACAGCACAAACCCACTGCTAGTCGATATTGTCCGCTTTGGCTCGTTATGTATCATCGTCAGCCTCACAGTTTTTAAAATGCATCGTTTAGAGAGAGGTGTGGAAAATCATTCTTTATAAAGGTGTGGAACCCTCTCTCTAGTAGACGTGTTTTAAAAATCGTGAGGCTGACAGCAATAAGTAACAGGCCACTGCTAGTCGATATTGTAACCGCACAAACCCACTGCTAGTCGATATTGTCCGCTTTGGCCTGTTACGTATCGTCGTCAGCTTGTAACCGCACAAACCCACTGCTAGTCGATATTGTCCGCTTTGGCCTGTTACGTATCGTCGTCAGCCCCCACCCCCTTGGGAGCCAACACCCTCGCTGGCACACTACTCGGTGTCTAGCTTTGATACCATTTGTAACAGCACAAACCCACTGCTAGTCCTCGCTGGCACACTACTCGGTGTCTAGCTTTGATACCATTTGTAACAGCACAAACCCACTGCTAGTCGATATTGTCCGCTTTGGCTCGTTATGTATCATCGTCAGCCTCACAGTTTTTAAAATGCATTGTTTAGAGAGAGGTGTGGAAAATCATTCTTTATAAAGGTGTGGAACCCTCTCTCTAGTAGACGTGTTTTAAAAATCGTGAGGCTGACAGCAATAAGTAACAGGCCAAAGTGGACAATATCTACTAGCGGTGTGCTCAGACTCTCTCCATAATAGATACGTTTAAAAAATCTTAAGGGGAAGAAGACAAGAAAAGGCCAAAATAGGACAATATCTCCTAACTGTGGGTTTAGGTTGTTACAATTGGTATTAAAGCTAGACACCAGCCAATGTGCCAACGAAGACGCTAGGTCCGTAAAGGGGGTGGATTATGAAATCCCACATTGGTTGAAGAGGGGAATTAAGTATTTCTAATCCCACATTGGTTGAAGAGGGGAATTAAGTATTTCTAACAAGTGGAAACCTCTCCCTAACAGACGCATTTTTAAAATTGTGGAACTAGCGGTGATATATAACGCCAAATGAACAATACCTGTTAATTAATAATGAATTTGAGTTAATTACATGGTGAGTGTTGTTATAATCAAATTCAATTATCTATGGCCCTTTCTTCCTCACCCATTGCTTTATTGCCATGGCCACCCTTCTTTGGCGGACCACTATGTTTTTGACATAATATTCTGTGAATATTGGTTAAAATCACCTTATTTGTGGGACTTCTCTATCTTATAATCCATAAATGAACACAGTATATTTGTCTATATTAAAGAGTAAATATAATATTTAGAGTAACTAAGCCGCATAAATATTTACTTTAAAATAAAAGATCATATTATATTTAGAGTAACTAAGCCGCATAAATATTTACTTTAAAATAAAAGATCAAATATGATGTATATGGTAAATTGAATTTGGTACATGCGAGAGTTGTTATAATCGGATTCAATTATGGAGGGCCCTCTCTTCCTCACCCACTGCTTTATTGCCATGGCCCGCCTTGTTTGGACGGACCACTGTGTTTTGGACAATATATTCATGATCAACTGATATCCTTTCCAATTGCGT